TATGTAAAAGACTTACAGCAGCTTGTCAAACTCCTGCCCGGCGCTTTGCCTTTGCTGTTTCGGGGTCAGGCGAGTAACGTGTCTTTATATAAACTTGAACACCCTCTGTTGTCCCACGATCAAGATATCCATTTTACTAGCGCAAATTCTTCTTATGTCAAGAGGTGGTCAGAAAGTTCACTGACAGTCACTGAGGATGACCATCACACCGTTGAAAATCTTCACCGGAACACTATTGCCAGTGCAGAAAGTGGGTTAGACGAAATTAATATACCCGAGGGTCCTGTAAGAAATGAGAATGATACCGAGAATGATTTAACCGAGAGCGTTTTTGAGTCTACCACGGAAGAAATTGTTCAGTCCAGTGACGCCGCCACTACTTTTGTTGATGAAGTTGAGAACACGACCAATGCCAGAGATAAGAACGTGACAGCTGGAACTAATAATGTTCAGGAAAATGATGATAATCAACGAGGGATAGCAGATGGAAGTGAGAATGTGGCAGATCAGTGGGAGAATAAGGATGAAGAAGGTGGACTAGTTTCTGCTGGTAGCAGCGGCGGCGGCGGCGGTGGTGGTGGTGGAGGTAGCGGGAATCGACTTGATGCGAAGAGACGTTGGGCGTCAGATCTGAAACCAATGTTCCATGCATCACTCAGCATTATCCGAGAGCTCGTGAGCATAACCCCTGACGTTTACGATTTCACTGCCGCCTCGTTCAACGTTGTCCACGACATGGAGATGGTAAGAACGGTTGTCTCTATTTGTGTAACTCTTCCTAACACTTACAACCGTGCTGGCGCAAATGCTGGCATAACAGACCTAAACCTGGTGGTCTTAAGTTCAAAGGGTCATTTAAGCGTAATTTTTAAATCGGATCTGGTGATTGAAAAAGGTCTTTTAAATCGACACAGCCTGCCTTACTGTTTGACAGACAAGTGTCTAGGTGTCAGAAAATGTTACTGGAAGTAATGGAAATCAATCCGATCTTAATTAATTTCATCATTAACAGACTGTAAATTAATCTACTAAAATACAACAGCAGCACTATATTCTCCATACGCAAAGTGAATGAAAAATTCCCCTTAAATTAACATAGACACAACCTAAATGTGCTTCTTACTACCCCTCTCTCCTATTTTTGTTAGCGACTGCGATCTCTGGACAACCTAACGTCCAATCCGGCATTTCTCACATTTACACAACCCAGTGCAGATGGCCAGACTTCAGTGGACAAGAAGCCAAAAGGACCTAACCTTGACCGCGTTCTCCGATTTGATAAGAATATTACCAAGTAAGCCTATTTTTGACTCTGATAATGGCTCTCCTCATTCTTTTCTTTTTTTTTTCCTTCTTCTTCTTCTTCTTCTTCTTCTTCTTCTTCTTCTTCTTCTTCTTCTTCTTCTTCTTCTTCTTCTTCTTCTTCTTCTTCTTCTTCTGCTGCTGCTGCTGCTGCTGCTGCTGCTGCTGCTGCTGCTGCTGCTGCTGCTGCTGCTGCTGCTGCTGCTGCTTCTTCTTCTTCTTCTTCTTCTTCTTCTTCTTCTTCTTCTTCTTCTTCTTCTTCTTCTTCTTCTTCTTCTTCTTCTTCTTCTTCTTCTGCTTCTTCTTCTTCTGCTTCTGCTTCTGCCTCTGCCTCTGCCTCTGTCTCTGCTTCTGCCTCTGCCTCTGCTTCTGCCTCTGCTTCTGCTTCTGCTTCTGCTTCCGCTTCCGCTTCCTCTTCCTCTTCCTCTTCTTCTTCTTCTTCTTCTTCTTCTTCTTCTTCTTCTTCTTCTTCTTCTTCTTCTTCTTCTTCTTCTTCTTTCTTCTTCTTCTTCTTTCTTCTTCTTCTTCTTTCTTCTTCTTCTTCTTCTTTCTTCTTTCTTCTTCTTCTTTCTTCTTCTTCTTCTTCTTTCTTTCTTCTTCTTCTTTCTTCTTCTTCTTTTCTTCTTCTTCTTTCTTCTTTCTTCTTCTTCTTCTTTCTTCTTCTTCTTCTTCTTTCTTCTTCTTCTTCTTTCTTCTTCTTCTTCTTTCTTCTTCTTCTTTCTTCTTCTTCTTTCTTCTTCTTCTTTTCTTTCTTCTTTTTCTTCTTCTTCTTTCTTCTTCTTTCTTTCTTCTTCTTCTTTCTTCTTCTTCTTTCTTTTTTCTTCTTTTCTTTCTTCTTCTTTTCTTTCTTCTTCTTCTTTCTTTCTTCTTCTTTCTTTCTTCTTCTTCTTCTTCTTCTTCTTCTTCTTCTTCTTCTTCTTCTTCTTCTTCTTCTTCTTCTTCTTCTTCTTCTTCTTCTTCTTCTTCTTCTTCTTCTTCTTCTTCTTCTTCTTCTTCAATTTTAATCGCTTGCTCAATTGTACCCTCTAATAAGTTCTTCTGATAATATTGCCTTTTTGTTGTTGTTGTTGCTGCTGTTCGAGTTTCTCTTTTGTTTCATACAGCTATAAGTATGATGTGGGAGTCGCCGTGGCAGAGCGGCTAGACGCTTGCCGCGGATCGGTTGGTCGTTGGTTCGCTTCCTGGCGGAGCCGGACTTTAAAAAAAAAAATAATGTCGGCTCCCAGGTCAGCCCAGCATTAAGTTGGTACCGGGTGCAGTCCTGGAAAGTAATGGCGGCTAGCGAGGTGCTGACCACATCACCCGTCTTGTGCCAATTGCTCTATAAAATGCAGATCGAGCCCTATATGCCCTATACACTTAAAGGCGTGTTAAAGGGTCCGTAACTATTTTTATTGTATTTATGTGTAAGATGTTCACTCACTGGGCCAGTATTCCATCGTGCTATTAAAAATGAACCATCACCGCGAACGGTTTACCATCTAAGGGACCGATACTCTTGTTGATGAAAGACCTCTACTGTTGATTAATGTGATTAAGTGTTTACATTAGTTAAAGTGCGTACCCGCTGAAATGGTATGTAACAGATTACTGGCTACAATCATGAATGTAGTAAGTGCTACCAAGCTGCGGCGATATAGGTTCAGAGACGATTGATAGGAATACCATGTACATATAAAAAGAGTTAATGTGGATGTATTGACAGAAACTTCTCACGAAGAAAACTGACTGCCCCCATCACAGAGAGACAATCAACATTCTTTGGTCATGTCTAGAGATGGAGAAAACTGGAGTACATCGTGACACTAGGAAAGTTGGAGGGGAAGAGAGGCAGAGGGAGACCGAGAGAACAGACGCTGGATAGTCTGACATCATGACATGGAGGATCATCTGTGACAGAGTTTATTGAAAGTACGCGAGACAGAAGGTTGTGGATAGACATGACAACAAACGCCACACAGCATGGAGTATGTAAGATCATCTGGGTCATCGTTGACTGAAAGTACACGGGAGAAAAGGTTATGGATATACATGACTACCAACACCACGTGGCATGGACGATAGAAGATCATCTAGGTTAGAGCTGACAGAAAGTACATAAGACGAAAGGTTATGGATACACATGACTACTAGCACCACATGGCATGGACTATGGAAGATCATCTAGGTTAGAGCTGGCGGAAAGTACATGAGACAAAAGGTTATGAATAGACATGTCTACCAACACCACACGGCATGGACAATAGAAGATCATCTAGGCTAGAGCTAACTGAAAGTACATGAGACAAAAGGTTATGGATAGACATGACTACCAACACCACACAGCATGGATAATGGAAGATCATCTAGGCTAGAGCTAACTGAAAGTACATGAGACGAAAGGTTATGAATAGACATGACTACCAGCGCCACACGGCATGGACGATGGAAGATCATCTAGGTCAGAGCTGACAGAAAGTACATGAGACGAAAGGTTATGAATAGACATGACTACCAGCGCCACACGGCATGGACGATGGAAGATCATCTAGGTCAGAGCTGACAGAAAGTACATGAGACGAAAGGTTATGAATAGACATGACTACCAGCGCCACACGGCATGGACGATGGAAGATCATCTAGGTCAGAGCTGACAGAAAGAACATGAGATAAAAGGTTATGGAAGACATGACTAACAACACCACACGGCATGGACTATGGAAGATCATCTAGGTTAGAGCTGACAGAAAGTACATGAGACAAAAGGTTATGGATAGACATGTCTACCAACACCACACAGCATGGACAATGGAAGATCATCTAGGTTAGAGCTGACAGAAAGTACAAGAGACGAAAGGTTATGGATAGACATGACTAACAACCCCACACGGCATGGACTGTAAGAAGAAAGAGAATAAGTAGAATGCTACCAAACACCTGCTACTGTTTTTATCATAACAACACCAAATACCACTATTGCTGGTATTGCTAGTACTACTATTATTACTAGCACAACAACTACTACTACCACCAGCAACAACACGATCACTGCTGCTACAGCTGCTGCAACAGCGGCTTTTAAAATAACAATTACAATAAAACTCAACCACCGAATGCCATCGCTATGATGACCACAACTACTAATGCTACTAGTATAACCATCACCGCTACTATTATCACCACTACTTCTACTACTGCCTCGACTACTATTTTTACTACTAGAAGTAGCTTATATTTACTACTGTTGCTACTAAAAGTAGCTCATACTACTACTACTAATACTACTACTACTACTACAAGTAGCTTATATTACTACTGTTGATACTACAAGTAGCATATACTACTAATTAGCTTTTATTACTACCATCACAATTATTACTACCACGACTACATCTACTACTTCTACGACTGCTGTTGCCGCTTTAGCAGATGTTGCTGCTGCTACTACTGCCAAGTTTTGAACATCTTACAAAATTACCGCCCTTTTTGAAAGCAAACGATGATACTTCGATATCATTATTTTTTAAATCCCTAGTCTAAAGAACACCGTATACGGATCAATAGACAACATGTTTCACTCCTCAGTCTCAAGAACACCGTATACGGATCAATAGACAACATGTTTCACTCCTCAGTCTCAAGAACACCGTATACGGATCAATAGACAACATGTTTCACTCCTCAGTCTCAAGAACACCGTATACGGATCAATAGACAACATGTTTCACTCAGTGGCCGTGTACACAAAAGGGATGCAAGCCTTGTATCTGAAGTATTTCAAGGACAGACACCTGGAGCTAAACACCGACCATAGAGATGTCGACTTCTATTGCAAGCATCTACAGCGCTATGATGTTCAGGTGGGTCACTGTTGTTGGTGCTTTCGTAGACACCCGAACGCTATGGAGTTCTTTAGCATGCATTTACAATTTCTACGACGTTCAGGTGGTCATTGTTGTTGGTGTTTTCTCAGACTCTCGACAGTTGTGGAGTTCTGTTGCAAGCAATTACAGTTTTGCGATGTTCAGGTGGTTACTGTTGTTGGTGTTTTCTCAGACTCTCGACAGCTGTGAAGTTCTGTTGCACGCAATTATTTTTTTGCGATGTTCAGGTGGTTACTGTTGTTGGTGTTTTCTCAAACTCTCGACAGCTGTGGAGTTCTGTTGCAAGCAATTACAGTTTTGCGATGTGGTTACTGTTGTTGGTGTTTTCTTAGACTCTCGACAGTTGTGAAGTTCTGTTAGCAAGCATTTACATTGCTTTGATGCTCACGTGGGTCACAGCTTGCGTAGACTCTTGACAGCTCTGGATTTCTGTTGCAAGGATCTACAACGCTATGATGTTCGGGTGGGTCATTGTTGGTGTTTTCGTAGACTCTCGACAATTTTAGAGTTCTGTGGTAAGGATCTACAGCGCTATGAAGTTCAGAATTAAGGGGCGGGGGGGGGGGGGGGGGGGCAATGGAGTTGTCACTTCTGTTTTCAAGAAGCATATAGAATGAGCTTCTTCCGGTGAATCTCTTCCACGCTAAGATTCTCAGTCAAGGACGTCGCACAGAACACGAACCCCGTAGCACCAGTGATGATCTCTGGGGATCTCCGTAAAAATTGGATTCGTGAAATAAACGGCGCCGCCGTGAAACGAACCCACGTTCTTCAGAATCCAAGGCAAACAGCTTGACCATTTCGCCACAGCGACCCCCTACCATAAAGGATAAATTTCGATACAATAAAGTCGATTGTCTCGCCTTAAACCCTTATCTCTTCCGCGGCATGAAGTATTGTCTCAGTGTTTACATTCTGTCACTACTGCCCTGTTGGTCTGCTGATTTATCACACAAGACTCGCTTTCAGGGGCTGGACTTAAAAAAAAAATGATTATGGCTCCCAGGTCGACCCAGCCTTGAGTGGGTACCATGTACAGCCCTGGAAAGTAAAGGCGGACGTCGTGATGCTGACTACACATCACCCACCAAGTGTCGTTTAGTTTATAAAGTATAGGTCTTGCCCTATATGTCCAAAACGCCTGAAGGATGTGAAAAGGGTCCTTTACTTTACTTTTACAGGTACCATCGAGTTCCTTTTCAAATATGAGTCTTGCATTGAAAGACCGAGGCGCCGGTGACATGAAACGGGTGTTTGGCGTTTTTTCACTATTGCTGTTGATAAACCCTATGAGGGAGCTCATAATCATACTAGCTGAAATGCTTGGGAAAAGCTGTCGCAGAAACGAGAAGAGATACAAATTTAGAATGAAGAGTAGAACATAATTATCATTATCATGTGCCCTGCCAACTGGCGTAGGCGCTCATTCGTCTCCACAGATCACGATCCCTGGTTGCCTGGAACAGCTCTGTTGATAATACTTCATTCTATCTATTATCAAACTCTTGGTCTTCCTCTACTCCTATTTCCATTGATCTTTCCAGTTGTCACGATGTTTTCCAATGCCTCTCTTCTCATTATGTAGCCAAAGAACAGTGTTTGTGGAAAAGAATAGGACTGAAATAAGTCCTGCAGTTAATTAAAGAGCAACACATGAGATTGTCCGGACATTTGAGTAGAATGTTCTGCACAGAGAAAAGAAGGAAAATAGTCACGACAGAAACTAAATGTTTAAGTACTATTCTAGGCATAACGAGGAAAAATCGACTTAGGAACGATGATATCAGGAGGAGAGTCGGCAGAGAACTAATACCCGAACTTTATAGGTAGACAAGAAATCAAATTGTTTAGCCATGTAACAAGGTTGGCATCAGACAGGGCGCCACGGAGAGCAATGTTATGCAGGTAGATCGGTAGCAGAGTCAGAGGTCGACCAGGCAGATCATGGACCGCTAAAATATTAGAGAGCCAGTTCCAGTCCGTTCTCTTCCTAAAATGACTCGGCGAGGCATTACAGGAGTAGAGAAAAGAAGAAGAGAAGAAAGAGAATGACAAGGAAAATCCAAGCGAAAAAAAAATCGTATCAACAGCTGTATGGATTCAATTATCGGACAACGCAAGCACAAGTTAGGCAACAGGAACAAATTAATGCTAACAGGACACGGTTCACTACGTAGACATAAACCCCAAGCGCTTGGATCACGCTAAGAATGTCTTCCAGCAATGATAGGTTGGGGACAGACACTGATGAGTTTGGAACATGCTCACATTGCGCCAGGCTTAAGAAATATATAACGAACTGGATAAAAGTGACTTGTGCGAGGACTTGGATATACGCGAGGAAGAGTTGCGCAATTGGCCGAACTCACTCTCTAGCCTATATCCATCTTGATCCAATGCAGGACAATGACGAGACGATTGGAAATAGACCTAGGTTCAGTGAATGACCAAGGCGTCTTAAGTGCCCTGCCTTACTCGAAGCTCTCTACAGAGCATGCTGGTAATTGCCTTCTTGTCCGTTGAACCAATGAGAGGTTTCATCCGCACAATCCGCCGAGTCCAGTTTTTGCATGCAGGGTAGGCTTTTCCCAATCACCGAGAAGTTTAGAACCAGGTCGGCTACCCTCTTCTGGTCCAGCCAGCCCATCAAAGCTGTTGCCAGGGATGTGGCCGCTGTCACATGCTGACAGCTGCTGGGAGTCACAGGAGAGAGCTGAGTGCCAGACCTAGCTCAATGGTGGGGAACTGTCCTAAGATGGGACGAGGGCATGGAATGAAAATCAGCTTACGCGACACATTAGAGACATCACACGCAGTTAATATCTCTCTCCATCACTAATCAGGTAATCGCAGCTCCAGCTTCATAGTAAACTGGTCACCCTAGAGTTGCTCCGTTCCTGTGCCAACGAAAACCATCCAGAATGTCCATCGCCGTTTCCTGTGAAGGAAAAAAAAAGACACATCATATTTTCCTATTAACCATAAAGCATGGTACAAAAACTCCTGTTACTGCTTTTAACTTAACAACACTAACTACCCATCAAACTGTGAACTGTGACTGAAAAGCCTAACGAACTGGGGATACAGAACAACGTGCGCCTAGGAAATATTAATGTCTAGCATACCCTATTTCGTGAAGTATTTTTTTTCCCTTTAGTCTTAATTTATTGGATTATTTTATTGTTTTTAGCTTGACTGCAGTCAGCCCTATTTTCATCACTTTTTGTTTAGGAAGTGCATTGTTCGTGTGGCAAAATAATTGTGAATTATAATGTTTGTGATTGTAGTCTTATGGATGCGACATCCATTGTTGTTTTCAACTGGAATTTCCAATATCGTGAAAACAGCTGAAGATGGCCGAGAGACTGCCGGAGTCCCAACGTCTGGGGATGTTTCTCATCGACCTCACTCCCTACAAAGAGTACGTCCGGCAATGCTCCGTGGACAGCCTGCAACAACTGCAGTTAGAGTTAAACGCAGATGTCGTACATAGAACCAGGTTATTGATCGAGGTAGGCGCATCTGTTTGTTGTAAAGTTTTTAACGGTTGTTGATGATACTGTTGAGGGTTGCCCTACTTCCTAATTCTTGCTGAATTTTTATATTTCACGGCTAATTCTGAGCGTGCGCAAACAATTTTTGGATACTTAAAAGAAAAAAAAAAATCTTCCGAAATTAGGACAGTACAATAGTTTGATTTTCCGAAATGCGTATTCAATTTCAAGTTCATTTAAATTTTGTTCCACGTACATTTTGTTTTCTGATGACCTGAACTTTTTAGAATGTCGCTCTTTTGCATCAAAATTCCATAACCCTGCCTGCGTGTAAACTATTTGAAATTAAATTTGCTGAGCGAAATTGACCTGAATAAATCTACACATAGGATGATGTCTTTAACTAGGAATTCAAAAAAAAAAAAAAAAAATGTTGAATGTTGAATAGAGAAACGACATCACAGGACTCTAGACACTCTCATAAGCGCTCCGTCCCCATCTTCAGCAGTAGGTGAAGAGTTCCAATTTCGATGGCACCAGTAACTGTCTGAGTATATATCCGTATCGCCTTTACCTTGAGTTTTGAGAGTCGGTTAGATTCCTTGGAAACACCTCACAGCGCCAATCTCCGTAATAATCTGTGTGCCTTCGCACTGTTCACTCGCTCCCAAACAGCCCTCACAACATCTAACTTGTCATACATCAATTAACCACCAAGTGGCACAGAACTGGTCAGTCAGTCTGCTTGCTCGTTTCCTACCACACCGGCATTGCCTGGAGAGATAATTTAAAAATTTCGCATGCACTGACGAAAATAGTCTTCCTACGAAAGCAGTGTGTCCTGGAATAACACAGAACTACGATATCTTAACGATTTAGAGCAAATTTCCCTGTTCCTTGGGTTTTTAATATAGTCACATAGTTTCCATTTTGTCTTGACTTGTATAATCTATGCTACGCGTGCCCAAAAAATGCCATGAGTTGTTAACCTTTAGGCTCGGTATTTTGGATATCGCAACCCTTCGGCCTTGATTCCATGATAAATACCGTAAATCTGGGAGAAATGTGGTTTTTATGCCTACCCCCGGACGTGAACCCGGACCACAAGAAGTTCGTCACCCGGTCAACGCGCAGTCCGGTTTAGCCAACTACGCTAGCGAGTCGGGCTCGGAAAATTTAAAGATGGCAACAAAGTATTGTCAACCATGATGTTGCGTTGTCCGCAGTGGCGGTTCATAGATGGACACTGGATGAAATGTAGCTTCTAATCTCGGGCATGTGTGCATGCACACAACAGGTGACACAGGCTGTTCGGCTGTTGCACGCATAGCCATAAAAAGCTTCAGTTCCACAGTTCACACTAGCCTGCAACAGCTGCAGTTGTATGTGTGTTGTTGAACTGGGTTGCTTTGTTGTTGCTGTTGACAGTTTTCATGATTATGATGATGGTGATGCTGCTGCTGATCATGGTGGTGTTGGTAATGGTGATGATGATGATGATGGTTGTACTGGTTTTGGTAATGAAGGTGACAATGATAGTGGTGATGTTGGTGATGTAATGAAGGCGACGATAATGATGGTGGTGATGTTGGTGATGTAATGAAGGTGACAATGATGGTGGTGATGTTGGTGATGTAATGAAGGTGACGAAAATGATGGTGGTGATGTTGGTGATGTAATGAAGGCGACGATAATGATGGTGGTGATATTGGTGATGTAATGAAGGCGACGATAATGATGGTGGTGATGTTGGTGATGTAATGAAGGCGACGATAATGATGGTGATGATGTTGGTGATGTAATGAAGGTGACGATAATGATGGTGGTGATGTTGGTGATGTAATGAAGGCGACGATAATGATGGTGGTGATGTTGGTGATGTAATGAAGGCGACGATAATGATGGTGGTGATAGATTCCATGATAGATACCGTAAATCTTGGAGAAATGTGATGTGTCACCCGGTCACCACTCAATCCGGTTTAGCCAACTATGCTAGCGAGCCGGGCATCTGACTGTCGAAGATGGGGGGAGTGTACCGATTACTGATCTCAGAACTGACATCATAGCACACCGGGCATACCCTGTCTTCCGCAGCAAATGTCTTAAGGGTTCGATGTAAGCTTTTCCCGTGGCACACTGATTATACACACGTCGTTCTCTTCCACTCATCCGTCCTTCCTTGCCAGATCCACACTTAATTCCTCGTTCAGACATTCTTGCATGTTGTTTTATCTAATCTCGTGTCTTGTGTCAGCAGTCGTTAATATGTGGTCTTCAATAAGTGAGAAGAAACTCTACAGGGGAGCATGTACTGCAGGAGTCTACCAATCATCAGTAGAAGTAATCTCTCGTCGACTAATGTTTCGGCCCACGAGCTCCTAGACATTTTCAGAGAGTGGGCCCACCTGAGTTCATGAAGCTCAGGGTTGGTTTCCCCTGCTGCACGTATTACCGGATGTTATTCGGACAAGGACAAGACGAATTGGTGTCTTTGCAAAAGGTACTGTAAGATAGGAAGTCTTTGCGGTAGCATAATTAAAGCAGTCTGCATACCTGGACGACCGAGTGGCAAGCTTACGATTGGTTTACCGGACACATGTTGGAATATATCCCTTGTCCAATATGAATGTTCCCGTAGCATTCGCTTTTGCCGCCAGAAAAACTGCTCTTTCATTCCCTTGCATTCCTGTATATCCCGGACAGCATATCTGGTCTCAACATAGTAATTCAGTGCCTATTTGTCTATTAGTTCATAGGTATGTCCTTCTGTATGCTGGTTTTTCGGTCTGTCCATCCTTCCTTCTGTCGGTTTATTCATTCATCTAAAGCAGTTATTTATCTATGTGCCTGAATATGAATAAGCTAAACATGATATATATATATATATATATATATATATATATATATATATATATATATATATATATATATATATATATATATATATATATATATATATATATATATATATATATATATATATATATATATGTGTGTGTGTGTGTGTGTGTGTGTGTGTATTATGTATGTACATATGTAAATATATATACACACATCCATGTTCTTCAGAAACTGAATGATCTGCACACTACACTAGAAAGTCACCCAACAACTCTAGTGCCACTCTTCAAGCGTCTAACAGCCCTGGACTCATACAACCAGATTCTGCAGAATGTGGAGAACTCAGACATCAGCCAGATCGGAGCTCTCTACAGTGTCATAGACAGGTAAAGTCCACATCTCATCGTATCTTGTGTCCTTTGTCCGTGTTCTTGTATTGTATTGTTTAGTCAGTTGCTTGTCATAGACAGGTTAAGTCCCCATTTCATCGTATCTTGTGTCCTTTGTCCGTGTTCTTGTATTGTATTGTTTAGTCAGTTGCTTGTCATAGGCAGGCAAAATCCACATCTCATTGCCTATTGTGTCTTTTATCCGTGTTCTTGTATTGTATTGTTAAATCAGTTGCGTAGTTTATGGGCTTCCTTGCGTGTCTGTTTGGCATAGTACTATAACCAGTTGTGTGAATTGATCGATTGAATGGTTTGAACAAGGAATCAACATCATGGCACAAGGGAAGAAGGTATGAGAACTGTCTCGGATTTGTACACGAGATACTCCAATTAGAGTAGTGGGGTGTTTAGACAACGACGGATCAACATCATGGCATAAGGGTAGTAACCTATAAGTACTCCGTTCTACTTCTAACTCAAAGCTGAGTCCGAAGAATCTCAGGACAGTGCACGAACTCCGTAGCACCAGCGAGGATCCTGAACTACATTTAGGTAGATTTTTAACTCCAGGTTTTGCACAGGCATCGCTGTTAGGCTACTCTTTTCGATTTCCAACTGCCGAGGGATTTTTTTTACGTGCGCAAATACACACGGGCGTCCGATCCCACTACCCAGAGACGAAGGGAAATTTCTTTGTCCACGTGAAAAAATCTCAGCTTTCACCGAGGCCTGAACCCGGGGACCTCTAGTACTCGAGATGGACGCCATGTCTCAAGATCACTTAGCTTCAGTGTTAACTGTTGCAAGCACCGTGTGTGCGTTCCGGAGGCCTATTTTGATGGGCAGTGTATAGACACACTACTCCCCCAGAACATCATGTGGTCTAAGGCGACAAATTAGGCGTGTTCCCTAGAAGTTGAAGTGCATCTGCCTGAGAGATGGGGAAACCAACAGTGCACACACGAAGACGCCAGATATGTTTAACGTATATACTTGCAAAATTGTGAAGTTCTAGAACAAGACAAGGGTCTTGACGTGGACAAATAACCATAACTTTGTCTACCCATGCAAGCTAAATCCATTAACATGTGCATTTGCCAGTTCATCTACTCTTCCGTCTGTGTGTCTAAAAATCAGCCTGTCTGCCTTCCCACATACCTACCTGTCTATTTGCTCGTGTGTATTAGTCCATGCCTGTGAAACTAACGTTGGTATCCCCAAACAAAGTAGGTCACGTTTCATTCATAAGTCTGTTGGGCTGGTCTACTTTCCTGCAGGTTACGGGTGTGCCAATCTGTTGTTTGCTTTCTGCGTTGTCTTGCATTTACGTTTTCATTCCGAGAAAGAGAATGCCTGTGACATAGGTTGCAGCACTGCCTAGAGGGGTTGTGTTAGACCCAGTTTGTCCATGTCTTTTGGAGTGTTAAAATCGCTGGCGTGCTGAAATATACAACACACAATATCAACGGCATTGCGGAAAACCCCAGTACCTTTGTGTCAAGGACACGTGGCTCAAGGTCTACCAATCAGAGAAGAGCTAGTGTGTATATGGGCGGATTTTAGGGGAGACCAACGTTAGTTTCACCGTCCATGTCTATGTAATTGTATGCCCCTGAATACAAATGTGCAAACATTTACTTGTATCAATCTCTTCACCTGTTTATTTGTCTGGAAACAAAATCTCTCTTTCTATGAATTTATGTATGTTTGTGTGTATGCCTGTATGTATGTGTGTATGTTTGTATGTATGTGTGTATGTATGTATGCCTGTATGTATGCCTGTATGTATGTATGTAATGTATGCATGCATGTATGTATGTGTGTGTAAGTAAGTGGGTGAGCGTGTGTATGTGTGTGTATGGGTGTGTGTATGCATGCGCGGGTTTTCGCATGCACTTTACTACAGCTCATGCTTTTGTGTTCTTTTATAATATTCATAATATGCATCTCATCATATTATCATAACATGCTTTATTAGTAAAATACAACTGCTGTGCGAAAGATGGTTAACTAGAAGGGCCGAATGTAAGACGGGCCTACGTGCCCAATTTGTGACCCTTCGAAACTAAAGTTCGTTCGGTCGTTCGTTCTTCTCTCTCTCTTTCTCTCTCTCTCTCTCTCTCTCTCTCTCTCTCTCTCTCTCTCTCTCTCTCTCTCTCTCTCTCTCTCTCTCTCTCTCTCTCTCTCCTTCTCTGTCTGAAATCCAGTTGGGGTCTGGCTTTAATAAATGTGTCCCATTACATGACAATTATAACTCAGAGACGAGAAGCTTGTTCAGCTTGTATTACAGCCAGACCTATAACTTCGGCGCGTACAGCGCCCCCCTTTGTTAGCAGCAATGTAGCATTTGATTGATTAGGCGCAACGTTTTTGACTGTAAATATCTGCAGTGCTAGTCCGTGGATCAAAAGTTTAATAAAGAACACTGACGTATGTCCACAGGTTCGATGTGCCGCACACCGAGGTGGACAGGCGAGCGTTTGAGTCCACCCACTACCTTATCACCAGTGCTCGGCATGTAGCAGAGGCCTGCCTACCCGACAGGGAGGGGGTAGTTGATGCCATTGACAAATGCCTGGCTAGAGATGTCCGGTATTTGTATGTCCAGGTGAGTACCGAAATTATCATCATCATCATAATTATCATCATCATCTTCACCACCATCATCATCATTATCATCATCATCGTCACCACCACCACTAAATTCATCGTCTGAATCTTGTTGCTGAAAAATCTAAATTATCATTATCAGAATTAAAAACATCCCACTGGAACAATTTCAGAGCATTCTGCGACCTGTACTTATGGTTGGAACATCGGTATCTAAAGCACTCGAACACGAACTTAGAAAATGCACTGTTGAAAATGACGCTAGCAATTAATCGAATCAATCTACCCACGTGTATTGGAACACGGACTTTTATTCAAAGGAAAACGTTAGAGTAACCTTCCCTGAATACTTTAATGGTAGTTCCGAACATTAAAAACTAATACGGAGCCGTGTGCGGAGCAGTATGTACGGGACACACTACTGACGCTGACATTGTTGTCTGAAAAAAGCGTAACTTCTTAATCAACACTCACAGCGTTGCTCGGGCCTTAAAGAGTTAAGTCAGGGTTAGGGTTAAGTGACATGTTCACAATCATGCTAGGCCACGTCGAACAATTATTTAAAAAATGCAGATTCAATCCAAAGACCATCGTTCCAGCAGGTCATTACTCTATCCGGCTCCCGCGGAAATACGTACCAATTACTGATTCAACACTCTTTCTCTCAAAGTTACCGGTACCATCGAAATTAAAAGTTTTCGCATGCTGCTGAAGATAGGGACGGGGGGTTTATGGGAGTGTCCCGATATGAAATTGATTCTTATTTGAACATTTAACTTTCTTTCTCTGCAAGGTTAAACGCGTGGTGAGACCGCTAGTTGAAGCTGAAGTCTTGCTGGACGGCAAGTCGGACCATGAGGAGATCTGGAAACAGCTGGTTAAGACTGAGGATGTTGTGAGAACTTACGTGACCATGGCGAACTTTGTCAGGGAAGTTCAACGTTATCTCGGGGTAGGTTTGCTTACATCTTGTGTTTCTCAACATTTTTACTTCAGCTACCATACCGTTAAATGACCTTGGCTCCCAGGTCGACCCAGCTTTGAGTGGGCATCAGGTGCAGTCCTGGGAAGTAAAGGACAGCATTACCCACAAAGCGCCGATTGATCTATAAAGCATAGATCTAGCCATATATGCTCAATACGACTTAAGACATGGACACATGTCCTTGGCTTTTTTGTGTGTTTTCAACGTATCATACCTTTTGCCACAGTAATGAGCTTCAATTCTTGTGTGGAATTTTCAGTGTTGGCACATCTAACAGCTGCCTAGTGCATTTTTTGGCATGAGCAAGCGTCAAGATGTTAGTGGGACTGACAAGTGTTTCACTAGTTTTCAAATGAAATAGAAAAGGACATTTTGTGTGTGACTTTCACTGGCACAGTAAGGGGTGCTGTTCATGGTAACCGTGACTTTGACCTTTCATTTATAGCTTCTTGAAGTCTTCTAGGACACAGGGGTGTGAGTCTATTTCGTCTGGGACATCTTAAGGAATGGCGCAATGAACAGCGACACTTAACTTCGGTCAATGCGTTGCTCACAGAACGGCGCCATGAACAGCGACACGCCGCAACCTCGCATATCGTCGGTGTCCCTGAAATAATCAAGAATTAGGTGACACCCCTACGCCCTCGAGCAGTCCAATGATTTGTAAATGAAACAGCGCGCAGTGCGTAACTTAATTTAAACGTCACGGTTATCGTGAACAGCACCCATTAACGAAACATTTATAACGACCTCTCTGCAGTGATGCTGTGACCTCGACTAACGGCTAAAGCTACAACTAAAGCTACTGCCTCTACTACCACTACTTATCATTAGCAGATTCTTTACCGAAGGTCACTCTCGTCACGGCACGCCTGCAGGTCTTTCTTACACTGGCGGGTTCTACAGCCCCCATATGCTTTCAGAGCCAGTACATCTTTCATATCTTGTATTCACTTTCGCGGAGGTCGGACACTACCTCATTTTCCAGCAGCTATACCATCCATCTCTCCAGGCCACCACGACATAGTGGTCAAAATACCTCAGCTTTCAGGACAATAGGTAGTTAGTTGCGTATCCTTTACATGACGTTGCAGAACCAACCCCAGCATTTTGTGGCTGTTGTAGTTTTTCTTTGCAAATTTACGTCCAGTAGTTTGCCATTGATTTCTGGACGGTTGGCTTCTCGATACCACTGTTGAAACCAACGCAACGCGCAAGGCCCGCAGTTAGGATTGAAACTGGCACCCCAGCATTACGAAGCTCGTTCGCAACGCCTTAGCTTTCGGGACAGGATGCTGTTTATAAGCCAGTTCTTCCCGATATTCAGATTAAGTAGAATGTCGGTTTTTTCTTTTGTTTTTGTTTTTGTTTTTTTATTTTATGGTATTCTAATAATTGTTCTATAGTATTTCAGTTCACAAGCTCCAATTTTTGACTACAATAAAAAAAGAGGCCATGTCTGAACTACTACTACTACTTCTACTACTACATTATTATTATGACTACTACTGCTACTGTTGGTACTTCTGCTGCTGCGTGTACTATGCTGCTGCTGCCGCTGTTACTGCTAGTGCCTCTGCTGCCGCGGCTGCTGCTGCTGCTACTACTACTACAACAATTACTACTAATGCTGCTGCTGCTACCACTAAGAATACGACTGCGGAAGTGCAAATATCACATATTCGATACCAATAAAACCAACACGAGATCACTAGACCTTAGAGTGTATTAACCCTTAGCCAGTTATCATGCCTCTGAAGGATTTCTTTATCAATGTGGAAACAACTGGGGCACAATAAACAACTCTATCAAGGCCTCACTAAATCCCCAGACCTTTTCTCTCTATATAGTGAAGTAATTTAGAGGGGAAATTACAGAAAATGCAGGAATAAAAGTGGGAGGATACAATATAAACAATTTGCGTTACGCAGACAATCCAGTTTTGATAGCGTATAATGAAAGTAGATCTCTATATACAACAATAAGAAGGAGAAAAACTTTTCTTTGGCCACGTAGTGAGAAGATAGGCAGAACAGATATGTACAAAACTGCTGGATATTGTGGGGATGGAGAGTGCTAAGAAAGTACTTTCCTTAAATATTAAGAAAACGGAAGTAATGGTTATATCAAAGAAGAAGATAACTCCACGTTGTGATGTCTCAGTTGAAGAAAAAAGGCTTAACCAAGTCAAAAGATTCAAATATCTGGGAACAATCATATCATCAGATAGAGAATGTGTGACAGAGATTGAAAGCAGAATAGATCAAGCGAAGGCTGCATTTCAGAAAATGAAAAATATCTTATGCAATAAGTCGCTCTCATTTGATGTCAGAAAGACGGTGCTAAAATTTTACATAGAACCTGTTCGGCTGAATGGCAGCGAAACTTACAATGTCATAGAACAAATTAAAAAGAAATTAGAAGCAACAGAGATGTGGTTTCTGAGACGAATGATACGAATACCTTGGACGGCCAGATTCACTAACAACGATTGTTCGAAAGAAACTAATGAGAGTAGATCTCTATATGCAACAATAAGAAGGAGACAAACACTGTTCTTTGGCCACATAATGAGAAGAGAGGCATTGCAAAACATCGTGATAATTGGAAAGATCAGTGGAAAGACGGGTAGAGGCAGACCAAGAGAGATGATGCTGAATGGACTGAAATGATGGCATGGAGGGATTTCATCAAGAGAGCTGTTCCAGGCAACCAGGGATCGTGATCTGTGGAGACGCATGAACGCCTACGCCAGTTGGCAGGGCACATGATGAGATGTTTTGGTTGCATAATGCAAGCTTCATCTACATTGTTTTTTCTTGCACATATTTCAGATGTTCAGTGAACGATTCGTCTAACTATTTTTGTTGCACAGGTTTCAGGTGCATAACACACGATTTATTAAAAATCCCCCCCCCCCCCCCTTTTTCCTCACCCCAGACGATAAGTCACATTATTTTGCCTTGGCGTGTTTCAGATGCCCAATACACGATTCACAGAATTGTTCAACCTATCTTCTCGCTACGTCAACACGCGCAATCTATGGCTTCTAATGGCTGACTGGGATATTAAATTAGAAAAGTGGAAGAATGTACGTATGAACATTTTAAATACCGGTTAGAGTAACGTTAATCTCCCCAAATAGAGTAGGTCACTTTTAATTCACAAGTTTGTTGGGCTGGTCGACTTTCCCGAAGGTTACCGGTGTGTCCCTTTCTGTTATGTGCTTTCTGCATTGTCTTGCATTTACGTTTTTATTCCGAGAAAAAGTATGCCTGTGACATAGGTTGAAGTACTCTTGGGGGGGGGGGGGGGGGGTTGTGTTAGTGCGAGTTTCGCCATGTTTTTGGAGTGTTAAAAGCGCTGGCTTCCTGAAATATACAACACGCGATATCAACGGCATTGTGAAACACCCCCGTAACCTTATGCCAAGGTGACAGGTTCAAGAACTACCAATGAGAAGTGAGCTAGTGTGTATATGGGCGGGGCGTGGGCAGACTAGCGTTACCTGTACCTAAATACCTTTATCTTTTTTTGTTTTGTTTTGTTTTAGTTAAACGTATATTTTCTTATAAACCTCAGCATTTTTTGTTGTTGTCATTTTCCCCCTTAAGTACCAATCGGCATTCCATGTGTTCCAATCACAGTATGTGTCAAAATAGTATTATGCGTGTAGCAATTAGCGTGTCACGTGTTCCAATCAGCGGGTTGCGTGTTCCAATCACAAAGTCGCTTGTTCTAATCGGCGTGGTCATATGCACAATCAGCTTATCATATGTGAAGTGAACATAGTGCGTGTAACAATCAGTGTCACATGTTCAAATTAGCGTATTATGTGTACCATTCGGGATGTCATGTGTTCGGAATCAGCCTGTCATTTGTTACACTCAGCGTGTCATATGTACCAGTCAGCCTATCTTTCTTCAAGTCAGAGTGTCATGTATGTCAATCCCATATCGGGTGTACAAGTTATCGTGTCATGTGTACCAGTTAGTGTATCTTTAAAGAGGGCAGAGTGTCACGTATGTCAATCCCATATCGGGTGTACAGATTAGCGTGTCATGTGTACCAGTTAGTGTATCTTTAAAGAGGGCAGAGTGTCACGTATGTCAATCCCATATCGGGTGTACAGGTTAGCGTGACATGTGTACCAGTTAGTGTATCTTTAAAGAGGGCAGAGTGTCACGTATGTCAATCCCATATCGGGTGTACAAGTTAGCACGTCATGTATATCAGTAAGTGTGTCATATGTGCCAACAGCGTGTTATGTGTACCAGTCTAGTGTGAAGACTGTGTCATGTGTATCAGTCAGGGTGTCATATATGCCAGCAGTATGTCACATGTACCAGTCTAGTGTGATGACTGTGTCATGTGTATCAGTCAGGGTGTCATATATGCCAGCAGTATGTCATTTGTACCAGTCTAGTGTGATGACTGTGTCATGTGTATCACTTAGCGTGTTATATGTGGCAGCAGCGTGCCATGTGTGCTAGTCTAGTGGGATGACTGCATCATGTGTACTAGTCAGCATGTCATTCTTTCTTTCTCTCTTCTTTGGACAAATGTGTTGCCCTTTTGGGGGGGGGGGGGGGGGGGGGGGGAGTGTTCGTTTTTTTTTTTTAAATTTCTTATCTAATTAATTATTTTTTTTTTAATAGGCTTCGTGTGGAATACTTCATTCTGTGACATGCTGTGTTTTAAAAAAAAATCCAAAATCAATATATGTTCTGGTGAACTCTGTGTATCTTTTACTTCCAGCAAAGTTTCCAGACACTGGACATTCAAGAGATCAACAGCTACACGTTCAAGTACATGGAGGCCTGCGATAAGCTGGAGAGGTTGTTACCGAAGAATACTGTCATCTCTGTGTTTGAGGAAAAGGTGGGTTCTCATATTGCCCCACTTCCTCCTTGCAGTTGGGAGCCGCCGAGGTCTAGCGGCTAGACGCTCGCCTGCGGATAGGAAGGTGGTGGGTTCGGATCCTGAAAGGGGCTAGATTGTTTTAAACATGACTTTGGCTCCCAGGGCGACCCAGTATTAAGTGGGTACCGGGTACAGTCCTGGGAAGTAAAGGCGGTCGGCGTGATGCTGACCACATCACCCACCAAGTGCCATTTGGTCTATAAAATATAGGTCCGGTCTCATATACCCCTTTTTTTAGGTGGTGTCCGCTTAAATATATGACAAGACACGTATTTCCCCGTCCCACTTTTTCTCCCTGACCCCCTTCCCCCCCCCCCCCCCCCCCTCCAATTTTATTTTTAAAGAAAAGTTATTAAAAAGAATGTTGTTGAATGTTGCATATTGAATTAAGAATCGACATCATAACACCCAGGACACCTTCATAACGGCTCCATCCACATCTTCAGCAGCAAGCAAAGAGTTACAATTCCAATGGTACCAGTAACTGAGTGTCGTCGAGCGTCAGCCACATCCCCTTGTAACTTCTCGCAGTGCAGTTCTCCTCAGACCGTAATGATCTATCTGTGCCTCTGCACCGTTCACTCGCTTCTAAAGGGCCGTCACAACATCCAGCTTGTCATTCATCAGTTCACTGATTAAAAAGAGGAGGGAGAAAAACAACAATGTCAAGCACTATTAACAAGAACTTGGACAGAAAAATAAAAATGTCAAGTACTATTAGCAAGAACTTGTAGAGAAAAATAACAATGTCAAGTACTATTAACAAGAACTTGGACAGAAAAATAAAAATGTCAAGTACTATTAGCAAGAACTTGTAGAGAAAAATAACAATGTCAAGTACTATTAACAAGAACTTGGACAGAAAAATAAAAATGTCAAGTACTATTAGCAAGAACTTGTAGAGAAAAATAACAATGTCAAGTACTATTAACAAGAACTTGGAGAGAAAATAACAATGTCAAGTACTATTAGCAAGAACTAGGAGAGAAAAATAACAATGTCAAGCACTATTAACAAGAACTTGGAGAGAAAAATAACAATGTCAGGCACTATTAACAAGAACTTGGAGAGAAAAATAACAATGTCAAGCACTATTAACAAGAACTTGGAGAGAAAAATAACAATGTCAAGCACTATTAACAAGAACTTGGAGAGAAAAATAACAATGTCAAACACTATTAACAAGAACTTGGAGAGAAAAATAACAATGTCAGGCACTATTAACAAGAACTTGGAGAGAAAAATAACAATGTCAAGCACTATTAACAAGAACTTGGAGAGAGAAAAAAATCCACGTAAATCAAAGTGTCGAAAAAACAGAGAAGAATCAGTCACAAACCACTGGTAATTTTGGGCAGCTGCGTGGTCTCGAAGCATGGTGTCCGCCTCGAGTGCTAGAAATTCCGGGTTCAATCCCCGGTAAGGGCTGGGGTTTTTTCACGTGGACTTCGAATTCTAGTAATTCCCCCTGGTCTCTGGCTAGTAAGATCAGACTTCAGTTTGCATTGTTGCACATGTGAAAACAAAAATCCCTTGGCAGTTAGAAATTGAAAAGAATAGCCTAACGCGCTGCCCGAGCAAAATTTGGAGTTAAAAATCTACATAAAGTATTTCAGGATCCTCGCCTGTGCACTGTGCTGAGCTTCTTCGGACTCAGACTTGAGTTGGAAGAAGAACGGAGCACTTGTGGGTTACTTCCTGTATGCCATGATGTTGATCCGTTGTTCAAACCTCAAACCTGCTAATTTAGTGTCCAAATATGACCTTTAGACATATTGGGAGTATATGGCTAGACCTATATTTGTATAGACCAATCGGCACTTTGTGGTTGATGTGGACAGCAGCACGCCGGCCGCCTTTACTTCCCAGACTACACCTAAGAAGAAGCTGAACTAGAAGAACAAGGAAGAGACAGGACAGAAACAAGAACAAAAAGAAGAACTAGAAGAACAAGGATGAGAAAAAACAGGAACAAACAAAAGAACTAGAAATACGAAGATGATAAAGAACAAAAACAAAAAGAGAAATGATAGAAAGAATACAAACAAAGAGAGGAAAACAAAGAAGAAAAAACAAGAAAAAAAAATATTAAGCAAAAAGAGTATGGCAAGCAGCAGTTTTCAACCAGCCGGTCGCGACCCTTTTTAGGGGTCGAACGACCCTTTTACGGGGGTCACCTAAGACCATCGGAAAACATATATTCATTGAAGTTATGAAGGAAAATAATTGTCTGGGGGTCGCCACAACAGGAGGGAGCTGTATTAAAGGGTCGCGACATTAGAAAGGTTTGGAGTCACTGATGCAGAGCAAGGACAAAAGTAAACACTTTTGTTGTGTCTTCTCACCCAACATTCACAGAAAAGTGCCTGCTGGTCATAATTATAGCGGCTGGTTGAACGGTTAGAACGCTAGGCTCTCAATTGGAAGACGCCGTTTCTAATCCTCTGTAAGGCTGGTTTTTTTTTTTTTTTTCTGTTGGGGCAAAATAAAATCCTCACCTGCACAGTCGTGGCGACAGCACTAGCCATGCTGCTGTAAATCCTCAGACTCAAAGACTTTCCTGCCTACACCGCGAAAGTTGTATAGTAAAGTAAGTAATTGGCAGCTTACGGGGTTGTAGCGCAGGGGAAGGGGGGAGTCGTTATTTTGAGGCGGTCTTGACCCCAGAGCTGCGCTGACCAGGAAAAAATTAATATTGCTTAGAAACGAACAGCCTTTCTCTAAACTTAAAGTCGAAAGGGTCGATTTTATTGCACCGGGGTTTAATCTATGTGACTCGGTCTCCCTCCGCAGGACGGCTAGTGTAAAGCGCGAACTCTGCAGCTCCGGCGACGATCCCCATAGATCTCCGTAAAAATTGCACTGGTTAAATGAATGACGCAGCCGTGAAATGAACCCACGATCTTTAGAGCGCGAGGCAAACGTCTTGACCACTTCGCCTGGCAACACGGACACAGTCTACAATACAAACAGGGATTATGCGTACAGTATTTGTAAATGGAATGTAAGGTAATTACTTTGAAGAAACCAATGATTGACTGAAACATTAATATTCATATCCTTCACAGATGGACGTCATGCTTCGCTGGTTAAACTTCATAATCGAGTTCAGAGGCCAAGCTGTGAAACCTCGGCACTGGAGTCAGATTGAGGAGGTTCTGGGAGTAGAGTTTGGGGAGCAGTTCCCTTTAACATTGGCCAGCCTCATGTCAATCAACGCCATTGAGAAGCAGAAAAGCTTACATGTGATTCTGAACAAAGCAAGGGCAGAGTCAAATGTTCAGAATGAATATGATGAGGTAGGATAGTAAATTAACTCATTCATGGTAAACAGGTAATCGGAGTTCTAACTGCATAGCGTAAAAAGTTCTTTCCATAGCTGATTCCTGTGCCAAAAAAAAAAAAAAAAAAACCACACACACACACAGAATGTACACCACTGGTAATCTGGTAATCTTAGTTTCAGCTTCATAGCAAACGGTTCACCCATAGTTGCTCCACTCATTTGCCAACGAAAAACACACAAAATGTGTATCACAGTTCAAATGAAATCCGCAGCTCACAGTACCACGCCATGCACTCAGCTCAGAAGCTGGGCAACGAAACTATTCTCTTGAAGTCTACAAATGAAGCAAAAATTCACGGGCCACCGTCTGGCAGAAGCAAAAAAATGCCACGGCTAAAAAAAAGGTGGCCGTGCCTAGCGTCCATTTTGACATGAAGCATCATGTGAGTGTTAATAAATGGTCACCCCAGCAGTACCCTCACTATTAGCTGGGGAAGAGACTTAGGACATTACATCCACCAGCAAGCGTCGCCGCATCAACGACCTGACTGCCTTCGTTAACGACTATTTACCCCAAAGCCATGCAGATCTTTATCAAGAAGGAGAGACCTTGAACTTGGGTTTCGGACTGCCAACTCCCTACAAGATGTTATGTTATTTTATGGTATACAATCGACGTCACTTCACATTGGGCATTCCCATGCGTGCGCAGTCCTCCGATGCAGCAGCCACTCCAACGTACTTCTACTAATTGTTCCCATGAGAAGCTGGTTATATTGTCTCCTATCTCGGCCTCAAAGACGGCAAAGACATGCTTCACCATGCTTTACTCCCATGTCACGAAATCGTGTTAGTGTCAAGGATTCCTCATTATTTACTAGCCCAGTTTATACAGCGTTGACGATATCTGCTCTGTCCATGCTTTTCCCAGCAATCCTCAGTGCAGTGCTTGCCAGTTGGTCCGCTCGCTCATTTCCCTTTACGCCCCCATGACCCGGTGTGTAGATCCAGGTTACAGAGGTTAAGTGCGATTTCGAATGCTTTCTACCCATTCAGAGAGCATACCGCCTGTTGCTATCTTCTGAAGCATGTCCATTACTGTCCCTTGTGGGAATTTTTTTCACACATACAGCAGTCTTAGCTAATCCAAAAGCCTATACACGCATTAAAAACATTAGACAGCCGTCATATGTGCCGCAAAGAACAGTCGGACACTAGAAATGCAATTTATTGTCGATGGCAACAGCAGTTACAACAAGTAAATAGACGCAAACAACGAAGCGTCTCGTGTATAATTCACTCTTTTCCACGAATCACATGACAACAAACGTAGTATTCGTTGTTTTACTTTTCAGTTTAGTCAGAAAATTCCAATAAAATCTGGCCTCTTCCGTCAATGTTTCTGTAGGTTTTTTTTAAATCTAATAATGTAATAGATAATCCGAAGTAGCAGATTATATGGGTTTATTATATGAAGCATGCTCATATCAACAATTGGCTACATGTGGAAAAACCATGACTCTATGCACATACGTAAAATCAATGCTGAGTGGTCTCGAGGCATGGCGTCCGCCTTGAGTGCTGGAGTTCCCGGGTTCAAGCCCCGATGAATGCTGGAATTTTTTTTTCACGAGAACTTCAAGTTTTTTAACTCGTTTGCCATGATGTTGATCCGTTGTTCAAACTCAAACTTAAGGCTGTTTATGATGCTGTCAATCCATATTTGAGTTGTCTTCCGAAGGCTCTATATTAATTTTTTTTAGTAGACTCTGTAACAGTAGGTACCAAAACTTTCTTGTCAAATGGCTGAATCATTTCATTTGCTATTCTTAATTGATATCACTGTAACTACCTACCTAACTAACTTACTAAGTCTGTCACTAACTACCTATTTAAATAATTATATAACTACCTAACTATTTACCTACCTACCTAACTAACGAATTAACTAACTAAATATCTAACTAAGTCTCTCACTAACTAGCTTACTACCGAAGTAAGTAACTGCTTAACTAACTACCTAACTATCTAAAATACTGTCTATCAAACTGACCATATGTATTTTTTTTAATGAGTTGTTAACCCTTATCCTCGGTATTATGGATATTGCAACCTCTTGGCCTTGATTCCATGATAGATACCGTAAATCTAGGAGAAATGTAGCTCTTCTGCCTACCCCCGGGCGTGAACCCGGACCACAAGGAGTTCGCCACCCGGTCATCGCGCAGTCCGGTTTAGCCAACTACGCTAGCGAGCCGGGTGACTAAATGTATAAAACGAATTAAGTAACTAACTGACTAAATGTCCAACTAACAACATAACTGTCTGACTAACTCTCACACTAATTTGGTTATGGTGTGCTGCATCTCTAAGGTCGGAAACCAGTGTAGAACTCTAACACTTCCAGTGCAGACGCGACAGAAATCGGTTGTCGAAGGAGAGCCTCCAATAACCGTCTACTTTCTTGGGGACACGTTCGAGGTGAGGGGATATTTGTTACAGCACAGTGTTATGTTGTTGTAACGTTTGGTAACTGGTGTTGTACTAGAGGCAAAACAAACAAGATAAGGATGAAGATGAAATAAAAAGGATGAAGATTAGGAAGAAGAAAATGAAGAGGAAGGGGAGGAGAAAGAGTAAGAGAAAGAGGAGTATGAGTAGGAAGAGGAGGAGGACAAAAAGGAAGAAGAAGAAGAAGAAGAAGAAGAAGAAGAAGAAGAAGAAGAAGAAGAAGAAGAAGAAGAAGAAGAAGAAGAAGAAGAAGAAGAAGAAGAAGAGAGAGAGAGAGAAGGAGAAAGAAAGAAAGAAAGAAAGAAAGAAAGAAAGAAAGAAAGAAAGAAAGAAAGAAAGAAAGAAAGAAAGAAAGAAAGAAAGAAAGAAAGAAAGAAAGAAAGAAAGAAAGAAAGAAAGAAAGAAAGAAAGAAAGAAAGAAAGAAAGAAAGAAAGAAAGAAAGAAAGAAAGAAAGAAAGAAAGAAAGAAAGAAAGAAAGGAAGGAAGGAAGGAAGGAAGAAAGGAAGAAAGGAAGGAAGAAAGGAAGAAAGGAAGGAAGAAAGGAAGGAAGAAAGGAAGGAAGGAAGGAAGGAAGGAAGGAAGGAAGGAAGGAAGGAAGGAAGGAAGGAAGGAAGGAAGGAAGGAAGGAAGGAAGGAAGGAAGGAAGGAAGAAAGGAAGGAAGAAAGGAAGGAAGAAATGAAGGAAGAAAGGAAGGAAGAAAGGAAGGAAGAAAGGAAGGAAGAAAGGAAGAAAGAAAGAAAGAATGAAAAAATGAGTGAAGCAAGAAGAAATAGAGAAAAACAAATTCAAGGAGGAAAGAAGGGGGGAATAAAAAAAGGAATGAATGAAGAAAGGGAGAAAAAAAATGAAGGAATTGAGAAGTAAGAAAGAAAGAAGGAAAGAAGGAAGGAGAGGTGAAGGAGGAGTAAAGATGGAGTTAGACAATATATGAAAGAGGAGGAAAAACAAAAAGGTTGAAAAGATGGGAAGAGGCAGTAGTTTGAAAGTAGAGGAGAAAGAAGAAAAGCAGAGAACGAGACCACGTAGAAGAAGAAGCGGGTTAGAATTAAAAAAAGAAGATGAGCAAGCAGAAAATGGATAAGAAAAATCGAAGTAGAAGCAGCAGGTAGTTGTTGGTGGTCGTTGTGTTTTTAAAACTGTAGCAGATGAAGCATCACACGACGAAACGTCAGGAAAGAAGACAAAACAAAATAAACTTGAAACAGTTAGGTTAGTTTTCAACTAGGATGTCTTTTCACTGGAACCATCAGGGTAGAAGGAATAAGGACACCTTTAAAAAAAACATACGTAGAAGGGTCATAAAGAGCCCATTTTTTTTTACGGGCAGAGCATAGACTGAGCTGCACGCAAAGGATACGACGACTTAGCTGGAGTCGGTAGATGACCAGTGCATCCGCTAGTGGATAAAGGATAGACGAATTCAGATGAAGAAGATAATTTAAGACATCAAGAGACCTATCAGAGCTCAACTGCGTGGACTTTTTGCCTTTTCTTTGTACCAGTTTCAACATTTTTTTTTTTTTCGTGTTGTTGCTGTGTTTAGGTAGAAGAGTCCCTGAACTATTTTGTCATGGAGTTGGAAAGAATAGAATTGTCTCCCCATTCTGGCTTTCTTCATGACGGTCTGGAGGACTTTGTTCAGAGAATATTTGAAGCCTTGGAAAAGTTGGTTCAGTGGATGGAGATGCAAATGAAGCTCAGTAGGGTAAGTCGGTGAACCAATCAGGTGTCGTCTCTGCAGTTAAGGTTAACAGTGGTGGAGCTCGGACTAGCATTGCCTCTTGCCCTTCGGTTTGTCCATCTCTTGATGGTTGCCTTTCACGTTACCATTGTCTTGTTATTTGTCGTCGTCGTCATCATCATCGTCTTCTTCTCTTCTTCTTCTTCTCCTTCTCCTTCTGCTTCTTCTATTTCTTCTTCTTTTTTTTCTTCTTCTTCTTCTTCTTTTTCTTCTTCTTCTTCTTCTTCTTCTTCTTCTTCTTCTTCTTCTTCTTCTTCTTCTTCTTCTTCTTCTTCTTTTTTTCTTCTTCTTCTTCTTCTTCTTCTTCTTCTTCTTCTTCTTCTTCTTCTTCTTCTTCTTCTTCTTCTTCTTCTTCTTCTTCTTCTTCTTCTTCTTCTTCTTCTTCTTCTTCTTCTTCTTCTTCTTCTTCTTCATCTTCTTCTTTTTTTCTATCCTTCTGTCAGAAAACCCTAAATCAGGTGGGCAGTAGCATTTATGAAATCTATCGTGTAGTCCAAATCTCCCAGTATGTCATTTCTTGATTTAGAATGGAACAGGTCATATGGCCTCTCTGTTAGCAGCATACAGTCTACATAGTTGGCGTACGGGCTGATCATTGTCAGTTGCCAAGTTGCAAGGAACATTCCAGTGTTTCTAATAACGATAAGAACTTAAACATAGTTTGGCAATGTCTGTTGCGCCTTAGTCTGAATATGATACATTGTCCCTCTATTGAGAAAAAAATTCAATTTGGTTTTTTGGCTGACTTTCTTGTATACTATTTCAAATAGTATTTGCCTGCACCGCGACCGGCTCCAGCTGACGGGTTGTGCTGCTGACGTCAGCACATCGGGCTACCGATGCGTTAACGTTGCGGTTTCCAAACTGGGTGCCGAATCACCCTGAGGTACTGTGATCGTATACCAGGAGTGCCGCGGCAATAATCTAGGCTATTGGCTGGCTGATGGAGGAACTTACACTAGACAATGGGGGCAGTGGGTCTTGTTTTTCCAACAATGGCTCCATGGAACCGACAAGAGGAAAAATTAGGTCCTGTTCGCGTTTTCCGGCCCATCTACACACTAACTGACCTTTCGTTCATACTTTCTCAGACTCTTCTACGTCGAAGGGTGTCATATTGTCTTCTCTCTAATTACATCAGCGCCGATGTAGCGCGTTTCTGTACGACACAGCTTTCAATGACCCCAGAACATGTAGAACTGGTCCTAACCCAAACCCCCCCCCCTACCCACAGCCTCAACCTAGGTCACAGGAGAGACTATTTTCGAAGAAAGCAGTACAACGTGACACCCTGCTGACCTAGATCAGACTGATAAACTGTAGATGGGGCGAGAAACGTGAACAGGTCCGAAAAAGATTAGAAAATGGGCTTTGCAAGTAAAAATATTTGGAAGCCATTTCTTTTACTCATTTTAGACTGGATCGACTATACGACAGAAAACCATTTATAAAACGAACCTTGCACTATACAATTCGAACTCAGGTCTTCTTCTTATAGTTCATGCCGTGTGACGCTGGTAGTCATCTCAACACACAGTTTTGTCTTGTTTACTTCACATCTGTTCTAACACAGATGAGCTTCCATGCCATACTGTCAAACTGGCCAATATTTTTTATCTTCTTCTTCTTCTTTTTCTGCCTTATTTTCTCTTCAACTGTCCCATCATCACCAGTGTTCTCCTTCTGATGAGAGGACCAAAGGTTGTATATCGTCTACTTCTGTGTTGGCAGTCATACGGATGTGCCTGCAGTATCTCTAGGGAAATAACTGTGAGAAAAATGCTTCAATAAATTATTATATTTGTCTCCCTTGTGTATCTGGCAACTTTTTAGCTGCTAATGAAAGATTCGTGCAGTAGCGTAGTGACCAGACTCTTGCCTGCTGACCAAGAGGTTTTTAGTTCGAATCCCAGCGAGGATGATTTATATGATTTACCTGAGCCAAGTTATAGCTTCTTTGTAGCTAGCAGTGGGTGTCTAGAATGTGACCTGTTAGGTTGTCATCCAGAATGAGAGCATTGCAATCTCTGGATGGTCAAACATTCATGTCA